TGATATTGACGCTTTAAGATTCAATTTAAATTTATGATTTTGATGAAAACATCCGAAGGCTGTTCGCATAAGATGCATTCCTTTCGCACAAGACGCTCGAACGTGAACTTAAAACAAGTATATCAAATCACAACTATCAAAACGAGAATTATATGACTTATAATTTCAGGGCGAGGGTCGAAGATCATGGGAGTATTGTAAGAAGAAAACATGTAAGTATAACTAACATTTTTTTAAAAATCAATTAAAGATTCCATATACTTGGTATTCGTTAAGAAATTGCAATTCAAACTAATCTCAACTCAGAGGTAAAACCTAAATTAAATTATTTTATGAAACAGAACATTCCGAAAATACAAATTTCAAGAATCGGAATAAAAAGGTTCAATATTCGGATTGTATTAAAATGTTGCAATCGTTAGATAATTATAGTATTGAAAAAACCAAAGATCTATTGCCTTTGTTTTTAGATCTTATAGTAATCATATTCATAAAGTTTTCTAGAGCATATTAAAATTTTTAAATTCTTTTATAGAACTGTAATTTAACATTTCTGGACTTTGGCAATTTTAATCCAGCCTAATTACTGACTTAAAAAATAATTCATAGATGATTATAATATTGAAAAATTGTCTATTGTCTTCTTATTTAGATTTTATAGTGATCTTATTCGTAAAGTTTTGTGGGGCATATTGAAATTTAAAATTCTTTTTATAGAAAAAAGAAAATAATGATAAATATAAATAAATAAATAAAAAGTAAACGTAAAGTAGTCCTTTAAAATTGTTGTAAAATTGAAGAATTTTAAGCAGCGAAAACCTAACCTCAAATCCAGGCTAATCCAAAGTCCAAGCTTATTGAAGTGTGTCTAAAATCGAAAACTAATATTGGGTAGCCGGCTAACGGTTGATCCGCGTTTAGCCTATTACTTGCTAGACTAAACACACACCAGAGCTTGTCGCTGGCCAATTAAGTTAACCCCGGAACCCCTCCCCGGAGCGGGCAATGGAAATGGAGCCCTAACCTCAAATTAGCAAACATGCAATATATAAGAGTCGTAGTTGACATTATTGAACTTGGCTGCGAGTGCGAGTCGAAAATAACACAGAGCAAAACGATTTTTAATTAACGTTGACACTGCGAAGCGTAACCAGCCCCCAGTCCGAGTCGCCCGGCCCGGCCCATCCCTGTTCCCTTTCCCCTCGCTTACCCGAGTAATTGAGCGGTGTTTTGAGCACCAGCAGCGCAATGTCATGATGATATTGGCCTTGCTTATAGTCTGGATGCACAATCACATGGCTGATCGCATGATTCACAGACCGTGGTGCGCAGAAGCCAGTGCTGGCGCAGTCCGGATCACTGGAGGTGTCATACTCGCCAACGCGCACCGATGAGCTGCAGGCGAAAGTTTAGATGCACCGCGATATACACATATACATACAGATATATATATGGACACAAGCATAACGATTGGCATACTTACAGCCGGTGGCCATCGGCCTTGGCCAACGCACAATGGGCGGCGGTCAGGATGACACGCCGGGCAATGATCGATCCTGCACACGGATAGGCAAAGGCGCCCGTGCTTATGTCTGCAATGGGCGACTTAAAGACAACCGATTTCGATCAATTAATTGATTGATATTCACTTACGCTTAAAGCCCACGCGAGCCACAAAGGGATACGAGCCGAGTCCCTTGTAGAAATGTCCCTGCACAAGCGACTTGCCGCACACCTGATTCTTCTCCAGTGGACTGCTCGGGCAGCACACGTAGGGCATCTCCTCGCCACCGCCGCAAAAAAGCGACTTGTCGCCGTAATAACAGTTCTTCGCCACCTCATAGATCATTGCCGTGCAGTCGTGCAGCGGCGTGCACTCGGTGCCAAAGGAGCACTCCGTATTCGTGCCCTGGCCACCAGCGTAGGAGCGAGCGGCCACCGAGTGGGAAGCACTCGAATTCCCATTGGATGCTTTTGCATAGGACGATGGAATAATTAATTTCTCTGTGGAGCAGTAAAAATATTTTTAAGGATTCATATCTATCTAATTTTATGCCTGATAAAGGATAAAGGATGTGTTATAAAATGATAACAAGGATTTTGCATGATTCGAATATCTTTTTCTCTATTTGCTGAATACCCAAGAATTAGTTTAAATATATATTAATAAACTTAAATATATAGCACATGCATCTTAGTTTCTTACAAGGATAACTACTAAAGTAAAAAAAAATTCTTAATATTCCCTTGGATAGAACTGAACTAAAGAAAACCTACCAAATTCACCGGCTTCTGTTCGGATAAGAGCAAATATATTATAAAATATGAATAATCGGTAAAGCGATCGCATTGCTATTTCACTGGGCAAAACACTTGGGTTATTCAAAAATTTTGTATATGGTATATCACAATAAATAGAGCTCTTGTCGTAACTCCCGTTCCAGGTAAAGTTCTATTACTTCCGATCCGTGCGCGTTCACACAACTTTTTCGACTAAAAGCACACAACGTTGGACCTGGCCAGTAAAGATCGCGCCGCCAAATGAAAACGAAATTTTATGGCCAGTTGGGGGAAGGGGGGTGGGGGGGGCTGCTGCTGTCGGTTACTAACTGATTTTTATGACAGTTTGGTCTCAATTCGCGACCATTTCCAGGTTGTCGTTGTGTTTATTTATTTGTAGATAGTTTCTATGACTCCGATAGCCGGGCACGCAGCTGGCTAAAATGTGTTTAAAATGTGTGATATGTGGATCATATGTGCGGTCATTAGTTAGTTAGATGTTAGCGGCTTTTATGCATGTGGCTAGTTGCAGTTTGTATTATTATTATTTGCCCGCCACACATAATAGAAATGTGGTTGGCACTTACATACATCTAGGTATATATATCGGTATATATACAGGTTTATATAGGTATACAGATGTTATAGATAGACAAGTCTATGGCTGGCAAGGCGGGGCAAATGATGCGGCAGTTAGTTGCACTTTTTTTTGAATTTGTTAATAATTTGTAAGCTATGCATTAAATGATTATTTAGAATTCATTCGACATTTGAAAATTAATTTCGGTTTTCGATCCACTTCTAGATACAACTTTAAATAAATAGATAGAAAATTTGAAGTACAAATATATTTAAATTATATTTAAAGCAAATGGAATGTAAATATATTTATGGATATTTGCAAATAATTGTAAGACTTATTTGGAAATTTTTAAATAATTGCCAACTGTCAAAAAAAAGGAGCTAATTAGAATGTTGACTCAGTTATGAGAAGCTATGAAAACAGAATTTAATTAAGGTCTAAAGTGCATAGCTTATTTGTTTCTAATATTGACACAGATTCCGCTTTTCAGTTTCATATGTTTTAAATAGTTATATCTATTAGCCTAGAAAATTTATTTAAAAAAAAAAAAAAAACTTTTGGATTGTAGCGCACATTTCACTTCCAATCAGCCGAAACTTTCTTCGGGCTGCGAGTGTGCGGTTATTTAAGTTAATTTTACTTTTGTTTTTTTTTTGTTTTAATTATAATAAAAATATTATGAATGAGATCATTTTGATTTGATAAGCGGCCGACTGACCAGAGAGAGAGACGGTTCCACTTTTTTAAGCATGAAAACAAGCGCGACATTAAACGCACATTAAAATGTTTTATTGCACAAACAACAACAAATGCACGTTAATATATGTACATATGTGTGTATATAGGTGTGTGTGTGTGTGTGTAGAGATATACTATATGTGCATTAACAAATGCTTGTACTAAGCCAATTTGTTTTCTTTTTCGGTTGTATTTAATGGTGAATTTTACTTTCATTGCGATTAACATCATTTATCGCGCTTTTACAAAAAAAGAAAAACGAACGACTGCTGGAAATGATTTACACTTTACTATGGACACGTTTTTAACATCCGATAAGTGTATGTCACTCAGTTTGTTTCATCGCCGCTGTCCAGCAATTGGTCGTCTTCCTTGAGCTCCTTGTCCTGGGCTGCCCCATTGCCGCCGCCCAGCTGGGCCAGTGCACTGCGCACTGCGTCTTCGTAGTAATCACAGCGGGCGGACAAGCTGGAGCTACAACTCACGCTGGACACGATGCTCGACAGGCTGGCACTCGACTCGCTGGCATTGTTCTCCATGGAGGTGCTGCTTTGCGCACCGGACAATTGTCGTCGGCGCTGGCGCTGCTGTTGCAGTGCGTCATACACGTAGTCATAGTCATAGGTGCCCTCGGGCCTAGCATGGAGCGGAATGGGAAAGTTGTGCAGCACCTGGCGGAATACCTCATAGCGATCACGTAACTGAGCGTCCACCTCCTCGCTGCGTCGCTCCTCGGACTGCAAAGAGTGCAGTACCGAGTACATGAACACGCGATTGGCAATGTGGCAGTCGGGCAAGAGGCTACGCTCGACTCCCTGATTGGGGCACATGCCGATGACCGGGTGGGTACCAGACACAAATACCGTGGTCGGGGCCTGAATATGAATGCAATAACGCCTTTCTTCTGCGGACAGCTAACTATTTTTTACAAAAACAAAAACTTCAATTTAAAACGAGCGGTTAATTTTTCATATACATATATTAACTAAATCAACACACGAAATAAACTGGGGCAGCTTTGTAAAAATATTACATAATTAATTCAAATTCTAAAGCATAAAACAATGCCAACTAAAGCGCTTAACATAAAAAAATAAAAAAAACCAACATTCAATACAATAAATAAAGGCGGAAGTATAACCATTATTATTACCGTTACTGCGCCCCTATATCCGAGAGTAATTCGTTTTAATTGACTGAATATAATAAAAATAAATGATCAATTTGATTATAAAATGAAAATATGCATATTCTTCAATTTAACTTGTTTGCATTTTTAATGACATTTCAAAATAACGATACTTCTCTGGATTAAGCATGTTTTTTAATCTTTTCTTCATCGTTATTCAAAGCGAATCTTTTTCTCTTCTATCTCAGATTTGGGTATCTTGTATCTAACTTACATCCCCATCTTCCTAATAAGTCATATACCCATAAGTCTGTACATTTTTGCAACATTTTTATATGCCATTAAACGCTAAGTACAGTTAAATGCCATAATGGACAATAACCGTGCTTAAACTGCCATAAAATTGTCGAAATAAGTGAAATTAAACAGCGTATCCACATTTTATAGTACTTAGTTGTGTTATACTTTATTGAAATACAAAATGTAATCGAATGTTTAGGCATTTAGGCATAAATGGAATATTTGTAATGAATATTCAATTATAACAAAAAAAGGATAGCAATACGTGCGTGATTAACGCCAGAAAGGACACACGTAATACTGCTCATAAATAACTATTACAAACACAAACAATGGGGCACAATTTAAAAAAACGTTGGGAAAAGAAAAAATAAATTTAATTGAAATGAAAACAATTTATAAATGCATGTAATTATGCATGTATTGATGCTTAAACATTTAGAAAGACAGTTATGGGACAATGATCGCTGCCCAGGCAATGGCTGCGCATCACATTGTCCACGATGCGGGAGACAAAACGCTCCGAGACAATGCAGTAATCCAAACGCCAGCCAACGTTTCGGGCACGCGCATTGGACATGTAGGTCCAGAAGGTGTACGCACTGGTGCGCTCCGGGTACAAGTGCCTGAAGGTATCCACATACCCAAGGGCCAGTAAATCAGTCATCTTCTCACGCTCCTCCTTGGTGAATCCAGCGTTGCGTGTGTTATTCTTTGGATTAGCCAAATCAATCTCTGTATGCGAAACATTCATGTCGCCACAAATGACAACGGGCTTTAGTGCATCCAATTTTTGTACATACGCCTGGAAAAGTTGCTCCCAGCGCATGCGCATCTCCAAGTTAACCAGCTTGCGACCCGAATTCGGCACATACACATTGATTAAATAGAATTTCTCATACTCGGCGGTGATCATGCGTCCTACATCATCAAACTCCTGATTGCCAATGCCATATTCCACATTTATGGGCATTATTTTGCTGTAGATGGCCACGCCCGCATAGCCGCCGGGCATGCAGAGCCAGTATGGATGGTATCCGGGCAGACGCGTCATCTCATCGGGTAGCTGATCGTTAACGCATTTGGTTTCCTGCAAGTGAGTTGTTATATTTGTTAAATAGGTTTTTTTTGATACTCTTTGATATAAATTTGTATATGGTAATACCTGTAAACAAAATATGTCAGGCTCTTCAAAATCCACAAACTTTAGACCATCTTTCTTCAACCAGGCGCGCAAACCAGCCACATTCCAGCTAGAGATTTTCAAGTTGAATGGCTTGTCCGTTGGCGACGTGAATAGACTTTTCTCATAACTTTCAGCAGACTCTGCCTCCACCTTTTGTGTTGCTGCTTTTTTGGCCTTGGACGCTGGAAAACAAAAGTTAAGCACATTTTGCAAACTTTTCAATACCGCACCGCCACAGCCGGGCTCCATCAACGTACTTCTTGAGCCGTCAGCTGCATCGGCTGAAACGGCATTACCATTCTCTTCAGCGCCTGCAGCTGGTCGCTTTCGGCCGCGTGCTGCAAAATAAAAACGGCTATCTGGAAGCTTGCTAGAATGTGCAATTTTTTTGTACATACCTGGTTTGCTCGCTGGCACGTTTAGTTCCGCCAGCTCTATATTCTCGTTGACTCTCTTTTGCGTACGCTTTTTGCTGGTTGCTGGGACATCCACACTTGGCAGATCCTCCGGTGGCTGATTAGTTGCTGCTTTCTTGCCGCGCTTTTTGGCCGGAACCTCAACATTTTCATTGTTGCCCTTTGCTTGCTTGGTGCGCTTCTTGTTTGCTACCTGTGTTTCCGATTCTGGCTCTGGATCGTCCTCTGCCTCTAGCACCTCAGCGATTTCTGTGTCTGCCAAACGCTTCGTACCGCGCGCACGTTTTGTTGTTGCTGTTTTTATTGTTGATTCTTCAACGCCGACTGCAACGGCCTTTTTAGCTCTGCCCTTGGTCCCAGGCGCAGTCAATTCCTTTTTAGCACGTCCCTTCACTTGCTCGGCTTGTTCGGCTGACTCGGTAACAATATTTTTCTCTGGCTCCTTTTTGCGTCCGCGCGCTTTTGTGTCTGCCTCCTTGGTTGGTGCGGCAGCGATAGCGGCCTCCTCGTTTAGGGATGTTTTTTCTTTCTTGGCGCGTCCTTTAGTTACTTCAGGCTCTTCCGGTGCTAAGGTTTTCTCTTTTTTGGAGCGTGGCTTTGTTGCCTTAGTTTTCGGTTCGTCATTGACCTCTGTAGCCAATTTCTTGGCGCGACCTCTTGGCTTAGGCGGCTCTGTGTCTTCCACAATGACTTCTACCTTTTCAGCGGGCTTTCTTTTGGTCCGCACCGCCGGCTTTTTTGCAACAACTTCAATTTCTTGTGCATCATTTACTTCCCCAGCAGCCGTAGCAGCTGGCATTTTCTTGCCGCGCGCTTTGCTTTTGGGTGCCGGTTTAGTATCATTTGCGACGTTAGCGGCCCCCTCTT